GGTCTGGGCCAGCAAGGGATTTGGTGTTGGTTGGCTTTTCTTGCCTTGTCAGCAGAGATCTGTGTCTGAGCTGGTTCCTTCTGGGGCTAGGGAGAAGCCACTGTCTCTGCCTTCAAGGGTAGAATGGGTGTTTGCTGCTGCATTAGCCACAGCAGCTGTTCTTACCTGCTCCGTGGCGAGTGAACTCTTCTGACAAGGCTTCAAACTGTTCTCTGGTTGATCTTTCAATTGCTCTTCTTTGGGTTTGGTTTCTGCAGTTGTTCAACACTTTAGCTGCCTCTTTTCCTAGCAGTGTGTGGCTGAGATGTGTCTCCCTTTCAGCTCCCACTTGGAGATCCTCCTGGCAGCCGAATTGCCGGCGAGGATCCGCGCAGCCTCCGCCGTGGGCCGGCAGCAGGCTGTGCTTGCAGCCCTTCCTGTACAGAGCCTCTCAGCTGATAAGCTATTTCTGTGTAGTGCCCATTCCTCTTTTGCCAGTGTACTGTGGTAGCACTCGACAGCCGTGCCCTCGGAGCAATTCCACGCTCCTGGGCTTGGCTGGGATGTGCCCTCCTCTGACACACACACGTGTGTGTGTGTGTGTGTGCACAGGTACAGACACACACTCATCCTGCTCAGCAAGGAAAGACTTGCAACTGATCACATTGTCATTCAAATTCTTAGTTGTTTTAAAGCCCTTTTTTTTTTTTCTTAAAGGAGAAAAAAACGAAAAAGGATTAATTGTGGTCTCTGTGGCCAGAACGCATGCAGATGAGCTACTGGAAAAGGGAATTTGGCAGAATGAGAAACAAGGAATGAAAGGGCCTTGATTTATCTTTTTTTTTTTCACCCTTCTAGTTAAGGATGCTGCATGGGGAGTGCATGGGTGCTCAGCAGTATGGCAAGGCTATACAGCTGCTTAGTCTGTTTTGATAGTTTCTCTCTTCGAGTTAAGAGGTTTCTTTTTGTATTTGGTCAGACCACATATAGGATATGCATCTTTTTCACCCTTTCCCTTCAAAGGAAAGTTAATTTGGACTAGGGTAAGAAGAGGGTACAGCCAACACCTTGGTTTGCTTTAATGTAGGGGAAAAGTGTTGAATCTTGAGTCTGTTTAGAACAAAAGCTCTTTCACACTTGCTGGTGGTTTTTAGTGGTGAGCCCTTCTTCATTCAGCCGGGGTAGGTTTGGCACTTGCCAGCAGACTGCTGAGCATCCTGCCCTGTTCCTGGGGTGCTGCGTGTCTGCAGGAAGGAGAGAACTGCTTGCTTTTCTCTCTCCCTGGGGCTCTGCCAGAAAGCCAGGCCTGGCCTGACCCTCTGCTCAGGTCAGGGTGAGGGCAGGAGGCTCAGACAGCAGTGGGTGTTCCTGCCCTGTCTGTGGATGGCTGTGCAGAGCTGAGGGTCAGCACAGAGCCCCTGCTGCTCCCCGGGGGCCAGTGAAGCCCCTCAGGGAAATCAGATCCAACTGGGACTTGAAAGGAGCAAACATAAGCCAGGAAAGAGGCCAAAACACAGCTCACTTCTGCTGCTTTGCTTCTGTTCCCATGAAAAACAATGACAGTCACTGTCAGAGCAGTTGGGATCCCAGGGCATTCTTCTGGCCTCCACTGGCAGGAATCGGCTGCTCCGAGACACTGGCAGCTCGGCCTGTCACGAAATCCCCAGTGAGGCAGAGGGAGGAATCTCTTCCCAGCAAAGCAAGAGGAGAAGCAGTTGAGCTTTTTGGAAAGCTGGTCTCATCTCCCCAGGCTGGCAGAGGCATAACCTGCTCCATCGCGTCGCTGTGGCCAACCTGGGGCACATCTTTGGCTTCTCTTCCCCTGGCTTGGCACATCACTGCTTGCATTTTTGATGGCTGTGTCTCATAGGATATCTCTTCCTTGTCTCTGTGTTATTATTGACTCCACAGATCCTGGTCTTTATGTGGCTTTTTAGCTCTCCTACCCCTGATTCTGGATGAGAAAGCAGTCCTGGTCATCCAGCCTGGCAAGGGCTGGAGCACCCAGAGCAGACCCCGAGGGAGGGAGAGCAGTCTGTTCCTATTTCTAGATCCCACGCAGTGCTCCTGCTGCATGAGCAATGCCCGGTGGTCCCTGGCTGGCCATGGGCATCCGAGGTGGTGGTGGCCATGGGGTCACTGGTCCCACACACTCTCCGCTGCCTCGGGAAGCTGCGTCTCGTGAGCACTTTTTTCCTTGTGGCATCACTGCCGCCTGTTCCTTGTTGGACTTTGAACATTTAAGAAGTGAATCAGTTTCCAGACCCAAACCGCTGGCTAGTTTCCTTTGGGTTTTTCTCTTTTTTTTTTTTTTTTTTTTTTTTTTTTTTTGTTGTGAAGTTTATGGATTTTTTTTTTTAATATAAACCCAGCAGGCTGGTGTTTTTTTTGACTGCATTATTGTTTCACTGATATTTTATTTCAGGGGGACTGAGGGGGGGGGGATGTTCTTCCCCACATTGTTCCCCTTCTCAGGGGATTCAGAGGTGGCTTAAACAAGTAAAAGGACCTTATTGGCAAGACTCTGCATCCCCTGGGTCTCTGATGCTGATGAGCAGGGCTGCTCATGCCTGGCTGGCTCTGGAGGGCAGAGCTGGCTCTCTGCTCCAGTCTGGGGGGCCAGGCAAAATGTGTGGGCTCTGCTCTCCCAGTTTCTGGACCTTTAGCTGGTGGAAGCCCATTGCAAAGTGTTAGGAAATTCAATGTAACTTTTTTACTAACTTTTCTTTTTTTAAAACCGATATAAAACTGAGTGAATGTCCAAAAGAATAGGCTTAGCCATGACTTAGTGAAGGAGATGGGTTTCAATTGGAAATTGTGATTGGAAAAAGGGGGAGAAGGATGTTGCTCCTCCATCATCTTCTGTATGGTCAGCACCTTAAGCAGGGGCCTCATGCTGTCCTGACCATCGGAGTGATGGGCAGCAGGCGTGTGATTTCTCCCTCCCCCCTCATTGCCACATCACTTCGCCCCCTGCAGAAAGTTAACAAGCCCTTTTAAACGTTTGCTTCAGTTTTTAGAGGGTTCCGAACCAGGCCAAGACCTGAAGAAATAGGTATTTCATTCTCATCTGAATAGGAGGGGTTGACTTTTTTTTTTTTTATTTATTTTGTCATTGCTGTTTTCTTTTTAAACCGGTGGCAGTGCAGCTGGGCTCTGCACCGCTGCCGGGATCCTCTGGGAAAACCTCACTCCAGGTACGCTAGAGCACCTCGGATAAACCCCTCCTGGCGAGGGGCCCCCTCCCCTCACTGCCTTACCTGGGGGCTGCAGACCCCCCTCTGCCCCTCCTGCCCCATCCCTGCTGCCCCACCTGGTCTCTAGCTGAGTTCTTGCTCTGGTGACTGCGCCCTGTGGACAAGGCCAGTCCCCAGGGACAGGTTCCTACAAACACTGCCTGGTCGCAGCTGTTTGTCCTTTGAAAAGCCACTTCCTCACTGTGTGGGGGGGTTGATGAGTGCAGAATTCCCCCCCCCACTCCCCTCCTGAGAGCCGTGTTCATCAGCCCCCCCACCCCATGCCATCCAAGCCCACTGCCCTCCACAGTCGCCCCCGCCCCGTGGGGGACGTGGAAACCTGGGAAATGAAAAGGAATTTGGGTGAAGCTCCGAGCGAGAGGTGCGGCTGAGCCTCGTGACCTGCCTCAAACACAAGGAGTTTGAGAGAGCCCATATTTTTGTGGGGGAAGGGGGGGAAAAGAAGGGGGAGATGGTGTTTTATTTTCTTGAAAGTGAATTGAGCTCGGTGACCTTCGGCTGAGGCGCGCACTCAATTTGTATCAGATTCTATAAGAGAGATGGCTGATATTTTTGGAAAGGGAATGGGTCTATGCAAACTTCCAAAATTGCTTGAAAAGATAGTTTAACATTTTTTTTACTTTGAAATCTAAAGATGAATCTAACTTTTTTCTTAAAGCAGAAGTGAGTTTAGAAAGAGAAGCTACTTCCACTGCTCTATTTTGATGATGATTCTTGGAAAGTTTGGGCTGGAGGGAATGACTATTTTTCACCATTTTTATCTTGCTCCTCTAGTTTTTTTGTTTCTTTTTTTCTAACGGAATGCTGTGCCGTCTTTGATTCAACAGATCGTGTTTGTATTTTCTGTATCTGGTTCCTAACGTAGAGAAATAACAAATATATGAGGAAATCAATATAATGTCAAATGTTGTTATGGTTTTGGGGGGAAAAAAAATAAAGGTTTTTGGTACTTCACACTGATTGTCCTTGCTCTGTTTCTTGTTTTTAAATGCATTTAAATGTCTGCTGAGGAAGCAGGAGGTTGAGAAGGGCATGCTGGGGCTTGGAATAGGATTTGGCTTTGCCTTCTAGGATTGCTTTGGCAGCTGGGAGCAGAGATCCCTGCCAGCCCTTCTCTGCAGATGGAGAGGGGAGCTGGCAGCACAGCTCTAGTCCCGTGGAAGCAGCAATCCCAGGGAAAGGTGACCTGGCCGAGTTGCCAGCAAGTGTCCCTTGTTCCTGAATGCCATCTCCCAGCCAGGTTCTGTTCGATCTCCCCTGTCCTGCTCTGCTCCCAGGCTGGCCCGGGGGAAGGAACCACAGCCCCACAGGCTCCAGGAAACTGAGTGGAATTCTCTGGGTTTTCGGTGCTTGTGCCAGAGCAGCCCCTCTGCCACCACAGGCTGGCCATCCCCCTAAAGGAGGGCGAGCCAACTTCAGTGCCCAGATACTGCTGATGTTGGACAAGGCTGGAAGGGACCAGGGCCCCTGCCAGGAAAGGGCTTTAGCTTTGCCTTTTGCACCTGCCCAAACCCTCAGCTGCACCTTTTGAGTCCCGAGCAGGGTCTTCCCCTTTCCCTCGTTTTCGGGTAGGGAAGGCAGCCGATCCCATCCCTTGTGTCCCTCGGCTGCCGGGTCTCGCTTTTCCCTGGATTTGGAGGCGTTCCCTGGATTTGGGGGTGATGGAGCGGGGGCGGGGCCTCCCACACGCCCCGCCCCTTCCGCGCGCCCCCAGCGCCGCGCGCCCCCAAATCGCCACCCAAGCCGATTGGTCACCGCCGAGCGCGGGACGGGCGGGGCTGTCGGACCGCGCGCTGATTGGTGGGCGCTCCGGAAGGGGCGGTGCCGGCGAGGAGCGGCCGGGGCGCCATGGTGAGTGCGGGCAGGGCTGCGGCGGCGTGAGGGGGGATCGGCACCCCGGGGCTCCTCCGCCCACACGCGGGGCTCCTCCCGCGCCCACACCCTCCCTGCTTGGCGCGGGACCACGGGGGGCTTGAGCTGATTCGTGGCCGGAAGCCTGCGCGGGGTCCCCATGGCTGCCGCCCCCGCAGAGAGCCCGGGCTCGGCCGCCTCCCGAGGCCAGCGGAGTCGGTGCTTGGGTGGCCTGGGACGAAGATGCGGAGTGTGAGCTGGCTCGGGAGACTCCCAGTTACAGGGGCCGGGCGGCCCCTGCAGCCCCCGCTGGGTTGTCCTGCCGTAGCGGCCCCGGCCCCACGGTGTCCCATCCCCTGGATGTCCCATCCCCTGGATGTCCCATCCCCGCGGTGTCCCGGCCCCCTGGTGACATAACAAAGGTCAGGTGCCGTCGGCGGCTCCTGCACAGGCGCTGCCGTCCCGATCCCGCTCTAACTCCCTCTCTCCCTTCGCAGGCCACAGCGACGGACCAGCTGGTTGGGTTCGGTTTGGTCGCCTTCAGCCTCATCCTGTTTGTTTACTACACCCTCTGGATCATCGTGCTGGTACGGGTCTCCTCTGGACATTATATCACAGTCACTCCACACTCAGGTGTTTCCCTGGCCTGGAGCTGTGTCAGTGCTCCTGGCAGTCCTGGAGCCGTGTCAGTGTTCCTGGCAATCCTGGAGCCCTGTCGGGGCTCCCGGCAGTCCCGGAGCTGTAGATGCGTTCACTGCTATGTGGGAATCCTCACACTGCTCTCTAGTGTCCAGAGCCTTCCACTGATGGATCCTGGCGGGATCAGCACGGAGCAGAGCCATTGTCAGCTGCTCCCTTCTGCAGGGCAGAGAGACAGGGGATTTGCTGTGCTCTGCATCAGCAGTTCTCCCCATCCCGAGCCCCCAGGGCCGTGGGACCCCCTGTGCCAGCCCTGGTAGCCCCACCTCGTTGTCCTCTGAAGGCCAGAGCCTTTACTGCCCACCCACTGCAGCCCCTACAGCACTGACAGAGCCACGTGTGGGTTGGAGCACCCTGTTTTTAGCCACCTCACACTGATATTTCCGTCCTGCTCCCAAAATCTCAAGGTTGCAGGTGCTGGGGACATACCCTGGTGTTGTGCCCACCTGCTGACTGCCCTCTCTGTCCCTGCAGCCCTTCATCGACAACAACCATGGGATCCACCAGTACTTCCTGCCCCGGGAATACGCAGTTATCATCCCCGTGGTGGCTGGGCTGCTGCTGGTGCTATTTATAGGTGAGAGTTATTTCTGTTCTAATTAGAAACTTCTAAATTAGGAAGAGAGAAGAGGGTTGCTTGGGGCTTAGCTAATGTGTGACACTCTGGCTGCTGCCACAGTTTAGCCTGGCACAGGGACTCAGGGGTGTGTTTGTGTGTGACTCTGACTGTTTGAACCTCTGGGCAGTGGAATTTTCTTGCTCTCTCAGCTGAGGCTCTGTTTCTCACTACCAGAAGTGCCTGGAATTACAAATTTTCTGGCTCAATCTGTTCTCTCTCTCTCATGGCAGGTGTTTTTATAGTGATCGTGATGTGGAAGAGCAGGAAAGCTGCCAAGAAATCAGACTGAAGGCCCGGCTGAGATGAGGAGAAGGTGCCCACCCTGTGGCATCGTAGCCAGGAAAAGACTTTTCCCGCAGCTCTGGGCAGACGCCTCCTCCAGGGCACCCAAGCTGCTCCCACGTTCTTTCCAGCAGAGACTAAACCACCTGTAGTTTACAACTTACTGACCAAAGGGAAGCAGGACTCATCCAAAGCTCATCAAGAGAGGGACCAGAGCCCTGCTGAGGGACCTGCTCCACAGCTGGGGCTGCCCTGCCCAGCCTCTGGACACTCCTTCCCCTCTGCTCTGGCCCTGCCCAGTAGTTTGTTCCTTCTCAGATTTTTTAAACGTTTACATACAGTTTGTGGGGGTTTTTGGATTCAAATTTGAGAGGAAAGAAATGAGACTTTGGGCTTGGGAAGGGCAGGTTTGTGTTCTCCATTTGCTTCTGGCAGGGCTAATCATGGTGCTGGGGGCTCTTGCCTTTCAGAAGAGGGACCCCCGTGAGGCCGGGTGTGCAGAGGATGCAGGGACAGCGCTGCCCTGTGCATCCCCTCCTGCAGTCACCTGGCTGAGAGAGTGGCAAGGAGATGTCCTGGATCACAGGGAATTGTTTGGGTGTAGTTCCCATCACAGCTGTCAGTGCTGGCTGGGTTCCTGCCCTGGACAAGGCTCCATGTGGGGATGGGGATGAGCAGGCAGGTATGGTGGCACCGTCCTTCCCCCGTGCGATTTCCTCCCCTGGCAGCTCCCCTGGACCACAGTGAGCAGGATCACCCTCAATAAAGGTCTGCAAGGTCTTAGTCCCTGTCCTCTGCCCGTGCCAAGGGATACCACAGGATGGGTTCAACTGCATGATCCTGGCAGTGCCCGGCACCCTGCTGGTAAGGCCCTGCTGGTGGGGTCAGGCAGGGAAACACCAGAGAGAAGCTGGCCCAGGCCAGGCCAGGTGTACCCAGCCTTGTGCTGGGAGCAGGTTTGGGGTGCTCTGACCCTTCTTGCATGTACAGAAATTCCTATTTCTGGAGAGCAGCGTATCCTGTCTCCCATCCTGCCAGGGGGTGATGCCGGTGGCTGGGGTGCCACAGGTCTTGAGCTGAACCTGGCTGCAGGAGTCACTGGGTGGTTCACAGGTGAGGCTCTGGCTGGAGGTTTGTTTCCAGCTCTTGCAGAGGCTACCTGGCTGTGCCAGGCTGTTGCTCTTGCCTCCCTGAGGCTGAATCCTCATCCCTTCATTCTCCTTTCCTGCTCCTCCTGATGAGGAACCCCTCATTGTCCTTCCCAGCCCCTCACCCATTGGCAGGGGGGGCTTGGGTGGGTTTGGGCTGGGGCAGGGGGAGGCAAAAGGGGGAGGAATTCAGTGGTGACCAAAGAGCTCCACATGTCTCCTCCCCCTGGCACTGCTTCCTGTGCAGAAGCCCTGTGGTGTCCCTGTCAGTGTCCTTTCTTCCTCCCAGTCCAGGCCTGTGCAGGACAGAGTCAGGAGCAGTTTCAAGGTTACATCTCACGTTTCTTTATCAGCAGTGGGAGAAATTAAAGCCCAGTATCCCATCCTGGGCTGGCTGCAGCTCACTCTGGGGACATATCTCTTGGGTACAGTGTGGTTTGACTGTGGCAAGAGGGGCTGTAGGTGACAGGGGCCCCCCAGGGCCATCAGATGGGGCCCGGGGAACCGAGGGGTCACCTGCTTCGGCCCCGCTCCTGAGCTATTCCGGATCCTTGTGCTCCCTGGGCTCACCAGGGTCCGGCGTGGTTGGGAGCCGGTGGTGCACGGAGCTGAGAGGAGCTGGGGACAGGGGGGCTGCAGGGACCCCCGGGCGGGAGTGGAGCCTGAGAGGGCAGAGCAGGAGTGGGGGCAGAGACATGGGGGGGGGCGGTCCGGGGCGCACGGTAAGGAGAGGCGGGGATCGGTACCGGGGTACACAGTCGGCGCGTCCCCGGAGCAGCCGGGCCGCGGGGCGGGGCGGTCGGAAGCGGTGCCGGTCCCGGCAGTGCCCGCTCGGCTCCGCCCCGCCACGGCCCGCCAGCCCCAGACCGGGTCCCCGCCCGGCCGGGATGCGGGACCCGCCGGCGGCGTCCGTGGGGGGTCCCGGCGCGGTGAGTGGGGCCCGCACCGGGGGCGCCGCTGCGGGGGGACGTCCTGGCCCAGAGCCCTGCCCGGCGGGGCGGCACCCGCGGAGGCCCGGGAGGAACTGGACAACTGGGGGGATCCGGGGCATGAGGGGGCGTGGGGGGGTCCCGGTTCCGGCCCCAGGGGGGTCCCAACACGAGGAATGGGGGGGGACACAGAGGCGTTGGGGACAGGGTGGAGGTGGATTCCCCCGGGGATCTTCCCCACCCGGGGATACCGCTGCTGAGCCCGCTCCACATGCAGGGTGCGAGCCCCCACCCTCCGGGAGACCCCCGGACCCTGCCCGGTGACCCGCCAACCCCTCGAGGATGAAGACGCTGGTGAGTATCCGCAGGGACGGGGGACGAGGGGCCGGTGCAACTCCCCCAGCATCCGGGCGGCCGCTCGCCCCGAAAGCGATGCCGAGGTGGGGGGCTGAGCCCGCAGCTGCCGGAGCCCGTGGGCGGCGCGGAGCCCGTGGGGTGTGCGGGCATCGCCGCTGCAGGAAGCGAGCCGAGCCTGGCACCCCCTCCGAGGGGCTGCCCCCCGCATGGCCGCGGGGCCACCGGCCGGTGCACGTGGCCAGGCCCGGAGAAACCTCCCCTCTGTGCTTCCAGGTCCGGCTCTTCCTCACGCTGGTGTGCGCAGCGGTGGTGGCGGTGCTGTACATCCTGCTGTCCTCCCTCGCCCGCCCGCGGCCCTGCTGCCAGGCCCCGGGGCAGCAGGGCAGCCCCGCGGCATCCACTCTCCGCAGCTTCCAGGGATATAGCCGCGTTCCCGACGGGAAGGTGCGCGGGGATGGGGCAGCGCTGGGGCAGCTTGACCCACCTGTGCCTCAGTTTCCCCTTCCTTAGGGAAGGGCAGACAGGGGCTGTGGTGTGTCCAGCCGCTGCGGGAGGGAAGGGGGAGCTGACGGTGCATCTCCCCACAGCCGCTGGAGCGAGCGCTGTGCCGCCACTGCGCCGTCGTGTCCAGCTCGGGGCAGATGCTGGGCTCTCACCTGGGACAGGCCATCGATGAGCAGGAATGTGTCCTGCGCATGAACCACGCCCCCACCGCCGGCTACGAGGAGGATGTGGGGGCACGGAACACCATCCGCGTGGTCTCGCACACCAGCGTCCCGTTGCTGCTGAGGAACCAGCCCTACTTCTTCCAGCAGTCCCAGGAGACCCTCTACATCATCTGGGGGCCAGCAAAGAAGTTGAACAGGGAGAAGATGGGCTCAACCTACCAGGCACTGCTGAAGATGACACAGACATACCCCCAGCTGCAGATCTACACCTTGACTGAGGAGAAGATGACATACTGTGACAACATCTTCCAGAACGAGACAGGGAAGAACAGGTACCACTGGCACCTGAGGGGCCCCGTCGGTTCCCCTGGGGTGGCACCCGTTCCCCCCACACTGGGCACCCATAGCCCAGCCAGGCTGGCAGCACTGTGCCACCCGCTCCAGCGCAGCCATGGTTCTTCACAGGATGAAATCCGGCTCCTTCCTGAGCACGGGCTGGTTCACTATGATCCTGGCCATGGAGCTGTGTGAGCAGATCCGTGTCTTCGGCATGGTCAGCGACAGCTACTGCAGGTGCGTGGGGGGCTGCGGGGGCAGGCAGGGGGTGGTCTGGTGTCCCCCCAAGTCCTACACCCACCCCATGCCCTCCTGCCAGGGAGAAGAACCACTCGAGTGTGCCGTACCACTACTTCGAGAAGGGCCGGCTGGACGAGTGCAAGATGTACCTGATGCATGAGCGCGCCCGGCGCGCCGGGCACCGCTTCATCACTGAGAAGGCCATCTTCTCCCGCTGGGCCAAGAGGAGGAACATAGTCTTCACCCACCCATCCTGGGCGGGCGGGTAGGGCGCCAGCCACGAGGTGAGGCAGCAGGGACCCCGGCGGCGGGGCAGTTCTCATCCTGCACCAGCGTGTCTTGGCTCTGCCAGTGCCACAGTTGAATGCCTTTTGCCAAGCCCTGGAGCAGGGAGTCTCCACCTCTGCAGCAGCAGGGCCTGTTCCCCCAGCTGGTGGGTGGGCTGGGACCCCCCATGTCGGGGCATGGGGTGTGTGAGCTGGACCCGTGGAGCCCCGTCAGCTCCGGACGTCTGCCTGTATGGACCCAGGATGACCATGAAGGTTTTCCACCCACTCTTCTAGGAAGAATATTTAATGCAGGATTATACGCTCACCCTGCTGGGCTCCAGCAGGACAAGGGGCAGGAGAGCTCAACCCTGCCAGGGCCACATAGTGATGCCTCTCTCAGGGGTGAAGCTCTGCTATGGTCCTTGTCCCACTTGTGCCCTGAAACCCAGTGCAGGGAGCCGGATTCAGGCTCCCTCATCCTGCTGCCTTCTGCTGCTCAGTGCCTGGGCAGGTCCCTGGAGCCCCCTGCATCCCTCCAGCTGGGAAGCCCTCGAGCCACATATGCCCTGGGGACTCCGAATTGCCTTGTCACAAGTGCCCTTGGATTCAGACCAAAGCAAACGTGGCGATTAAAAGTGTTTTTAATTCAGTGGTGCCCCGTGTTGTGCCCCTTTGTGGCTGCGGAACGTGGGGACAGGGGAGACAACAGCTGATCACAGGGCTGCTGGTGCCCAGCTCCACTGCCAGGCTATAAATAAGGGGGAGGTGACGAGGGGGTAGAGCTGAGCCTGAGCATGGAAGAGGGTGCTGAAAGCAGTCGAGGTTATTTGGGAACCAGCAGCTGCATCTCCACAGGATGGGTGCTGGGTCTGGGCTGATCCTTGGCCTCACAGGGCTCAGCACTGCTGGGCTGCAGGCAGGACACTGCCAGCTCCTGTGTCCCTGGAGAGATGGGACATGCCACAGGCACTTTTGTGGCCCTGAACCCATAGCAGCTTTTTGAGCTCATAAGTGCCACAGGTCTGGGGGGCCAGGGGAGAGAGGAGAGGCAGAGGTGCTGGGGTGCAGTGAGGAGTGAATGGTCTGGGAACTTCTGGAAATGCTGCCAGGGCAGTTTCTCACAGGGAGTGTAGCAGAGGAGCCCGTGGAGCTATTTTCCTCATACCCCAGCTACTACAGCTTTTCCTCATACCTCAGTTGTCACAGCCCCATGCAGGGCAGGGCATCACTGGCACAGCAGAGCCAGAATCCCCCTGGACAGGCACCAGGGATGCACGTGCCAGCGGTGGAGCTCCTTCCCTGCCCCACGAAACCCTTGAGAGAGGGGTCCTGCTCTGCCCAGCCAGCGCGGGGGAGGCCGCGGCATTCCAGCAATGTGCTGGGTCAGGCGCTGCGAGCTGCTCCTGGCGCTGCCGGGCAGGGCTGGCCCCATCCTCGCACCGGGGGCGGGCAGGGCAAGGGGGCATCCCCTGCCCTGTCGGGGTCTGGAGCGGGGGGGGCGGCACTGGCATCCCCGGGCAGTCCCTATCCCGGGAGGGCGGCACTAGGACCCCGTGGCTCTCCCTATCCCGGGAGGGCGGCACTAGGACCCCGTGGCTCTCCCTATCCCGGGAGGGCGGCACTAGGACCCGGCGGCGCCCCCATCGCGGGAAGGCGGCGCTAGGACCCGGCCTGGGAGGCAGCAGCGGCGATATCGTTATCGGCGGCGATATCGATATCGGTACCGGCAGCGGTATCGCAGCGCACTGCGGGGCGGGCAGAGCGGTCGGTGCACCCCGCGCGTCCCCTCCGGGCCCGTTCAGCCGGTGCAGGGGCGGAATTCGCCGTGTCCGGCGGGGGAGCGGCCCCCGCCCCGGGACCGGTGCGCGGGGGATGGAGGGGTGGGAAGGTCCGGCTCCCGCCGTGTCGCCGCTGCCGGGGACGGGAGGGCTGCACCCCGAGGAGGGGGAGGAGGTCTCGGACGTGGGAGCGGCGGGAGGTTCGCGCCCGGAGCCGGACGGGTTTTCCCCTTCCTGGGGAACGGGGGGGAATTCGCATCCGGGGCTGAGGGACCCTCGGGGTTCGCATCCGGGGCTGGGGGACCCCCGGCGGGGGAAGGGGGTCGGGTCTGGAGCAGCCCTTTCCCGCAGAGCGGCGATGTGAGCCCCGGGCCCCGCCATGGCCGAGCCCGCCGGAGGGGCCGGGCAGCCCCCGCCGCCCGCGGGGCGCAGGAGGTGACGGACCCCCCATGAGAGCCCCCGCCAGGTAAGGCCGAGGGGTCCCGCCGTGCGGTCCCCTCCGAGGGGTCCCCCATGGCCCCAGAGTTATGGAGGGAGAGAGGTGCGGTCCGGGAGTGGGGGTCCCACAGCCTCCCCAGCCCCTGCACGGCGAAGCCCCCCAGCATCTCCCCCAGCATCACATGGCCTGGGCTCACCGGGCAGGCTGGCACCTTCCCGGGCACCGGTACCGGCCCTGAGAGTCCTTCGAGGTCTCAGCTCCCCCGAGGCGTTGATCCCAGGCTGTTGCATAATTTTCGTTCCAGTGCAATTAGTAAAGAGGCTTCAGGGTTTTTTAATTTCCACTTGGCTCCAAGCGCTCCAGGAGCGGCTGGGACTTACTGCCCAGGGCTCACAAAAGTAAACTGGGTCAGACCATTTCGAGTGGAGATTAGAGAGGGTCCCTGAGGTGCTCTGGGGTTCACCCCACACACTTCGGCCCTGGGCAGCTCTGCTGGATTCGAGCCTGTGCATGCACTGAGTTGGGCAGGTCTCATTTCCGTCTGTACCCTCCTGATCCAAGCCTCCACGGCTGTTGTTTTAATGGGATTTCACTGCACGAGCAGCAGGTTGACCCTCCCTGTGTTTTGAGCGGTTTCAGCCCCACCAGCAGAGGATAATCCTCCCTGGAGCCCAGCCCAAGACAGGGATCCTGCCAGCAGAAGCCATGGCTTCTCTGCACCCCAGAGCCTGCCTGACCTATGCCCACAGTATTTCACTTCCCTGAATCGATTGCAGGGGTTTATCTTGCCCTTTAGAGGGAGGAGACCTGGGAACAGGTCCACATACAGCTCCATCCCCACCGGATCGGTATCGTATCCCCATGGGCCAGTGCTGGGGGTGACCACATGCCTTTCAGGTGCTCACGGGACGCCAGCGACCACCGTGCGCTGAGACCAGCACAAAGACATGAGTGGCAACGCGGTGAGTGCCAGGGAACCACCCCTGGGACCTCCCTGGGGACGCAAAGCGTCCTGCTGGAGGTGCCGTGGGAGCGGGGTGGGTGCTGACACCCATGGGGTGGGTGGGGGCAGCAGCTGACTCTCTCCCCCTGCCCGCAGAGCCAGCGCGCCGCCGCCCTGGGGGTCCTCTTTGCCCTGATTATGTTGCTGATCATCTACAGCTCTGGCAATGGGAGCGAGGTCTTCCCCTACAGCCGCCTGCGGGGCAGAGCCCGCCGGCCCCCCGACCTCAAGAAGTGGGGGGTGAAAAGCGGGTACCTGCCTGTCTGTGGGAACAAGGTACGACCTGGGCGGCAGGGCCTGGCCTTGGTGGTGGGCACAGGGTCTGTCCCTCTGCTGGCATCCAGCCAAATTGTCCCCTCCAGCAGGACGGTGGCTCTGCAGGGGACAGTGATGCCCTGTCCATGGTGACACCAAAAGTCACCTGCTCACGGCACTTGTCCTCACCAGACCCTGACTGCCCACTGCCACCAGTGCGTCATTGTCACCAGCTCCAGCCACCTCCTGGGCACCCACCTGGGCACAGCCATCGACGGGGCCGAGTGCACCATCCGCATGAACGACGCTCCCACCACGGGCTATGAGGCTGACGTGGGCAACAAGACCAGCTTCCGGGTGGTGGCCCACTCCAGCCTCTACCGTGTCCTCAAGCGGCCCCAGGAGTTTGTCAACAAGACACCGGAGAACATCTTCATCTTCTGGGGGCCGCCCATCAAGATGCAGAAGAGCCTCCTGAAGATCATCCAGCGCGTCTGTGCCTCCTTCCCCAACATGACGGCCTATGTCGTGTCCCCCGGCCGCATGAAGCAGTTTGATGACCTGTTTCGGGGGGAGACAGGAAAGGACAGGTACCTTGGAGTCACCTCCTATGCCGTGTCCCCCTTTCTCCAGGTCCTCAAAGGAGAGCTGGCTCTTGGAGCTGCTTCATGGGCTGCAGCACTGAGCTGGGAGTCCCCAGGGCAGGTTGGGGACGCTGGTGGTGTCCGTTATCC